CGCCGGGGAGTGCCAGGTTCGCCCGGTCGCTGGTCGAAACCTGGTACGCTCGGGGGCGGCAAAGAGGGGGGTGATGACTAGGGGGGGGTGGATATCATGGCGGGTGCCATGCTATTTCCTCAGATTTTATGGCGCCTCTTCTTATTTCATTACGTCCCTGCCCCCCCCCTGGGCCGCGCACGTGCCGCCAGCCATGATTTGCGCCCCCCCCCTCTTGGACGCCCCCCTCTTGGCCGCCCCCGATACGCTCTTGCCACCTCGGCGGCGACGACGGCGTGGGTGTTCCAGGCTGAACACCACCAGTGGGCTCAGAGTCGGCCGACATCGAACGACCGGCGCTGTGGGAAGCGCCAAAGTGGGCTCCCTTCCCGGACTCTGAAGCTTCGCTGAGGAGGCCTCGAAGTTTTAAGGGCGCCCTCGAGGGCGCGAAGTTATTCGCGCTTCGCGCTTAGCGGCTCGGCTCCGATTCCTCCTCGTCCTCCCCTTCTCCCATGGGAGGCGGCGCGAGAGCGCGAACTTATTCGCACTTCGCGCTTCGCGGAGCGCGAAGCGCGAAGTTGGGAGCCCTTTAAAATCACAGACGCAAACAATGGTCGATTCGCAGGAAAATGTGGAAAATAGGGGAAGTGTGGTGGGGGGAGAGGCGAGCATCCAGAACACATGGAAGTCATGGGGAATCCTGGGACATGTGTCTACTTATTTGTGTGTCCCTGGGCCCCTGTCATGCAGCCTCCCTCGTCCTCCCTCCTCCCTCCTGCCTCCGCCTCCCGCGCATGCCTGCATAGAGAGCAGCCCGAGGCGGGGCCCTGCCTGCTACAGCTGGGGAGATGAGAAAACAGGCAAAGTAGGGTTTGAGATATGATCAAAGGTAGGTTTCAAGGTAGGGGCAGAGGTTTACAGCATGTTTCAAAACAGCATCTCAAGCAGGGCAGAATTAGCCCCACAGGCAGTTTGCGAGCACAACAGGTACTCTCGAACGACTGTGCGGAAATCAACAACAGGGAGGGGGGGTGGGGGGAAATGGAAATTCCATTGCCCCCCCCTCCCCCTTCCCGTCCTCCGCCTCCTCCTCCAACTCCTCCTCCTCCTCCTTCTCCCTCTCCTCCTCCTCCTCTCCTTTTCCTTTTCATCCTCCTCCTCCTGCTCCTCCTCCTCCTCCTCCCCTCCACTCCTCCCCTTCCTCCTCCTCCACCTCCTCCTCCTCCTCCTGCTTCTCCTCCTCCTCCTCCTCCTCCTCCTCCACCTCCTCCTCCTCCTCCGCCTCCTCCTCCTCGTGGACATCCAGGCGTTCTACGACTCCATCGAGTGGGCGCCGCTTGCGGCCAGCTCCCTGGCGTTGGAGCTCCCACCGCGGATTCTGTACCTCGAGCTGCTCCAGTGCGTGGCGGCTCGGACGTTGGGCCAGCTCGGCGCCACGTCCAGGGCCTTCCAGCCCACGCGGAGCGTCGTCCAGGGCCTGAGGGCGGGGACGCGCTTCGCCAAGCCGATGACGCACTACGTGCTGGCGGTCATCACGGTCGCTCACCCGAGGCTGGGGCACCGTATTTGGATCGACGACGTGTCCCAATCGGCTCGAGGCTCGAGAGCATCAGTTGGAAGAGAGTTAGCAGCATGTGTTATCGAGACGTGTGATGAGTTGAGGGCCAAGCAGTTGCGAGTGGCACCGAAGTCAGTTATCGTGTGTTCTTCGTTTCAGGATGCCAAGTGGGTTGCACGACGCGTGACGCTCGCTGGTTACTCCATCCAGCCCGTCGAACAGGCCTCTTACTGAGGGGATCGACATGGGAGGAGGCGTTCGGACGGCCCGCGAGACGAGGGTCAAGAGGGACGCGAAGCACAGGGTTATGAGCGGCAGGGTCAGGAGGTACGCCTTCGTGTCGAAGAAGTACCGCGTCACGGGGAGGCTCGAGAAGCAGGGCGCGCAGGCCGCGGGGGTGTACGGGCGCCAGGCCTACGGCACCTTCGGCGACAGGATGACTCAGGCGCGCCGACGCTTGGGCATGGCGCTGGCGGCGGCCACGCGCGGCCGCTGCTCGACCACCCTCCTGGCGCTGCGCGCGGGGGACTTGGACCCCGCGGTCAAGCTGCCCGCCGAGACGCTGGATCTTTGGCTGCGCACCTGGCGGGGGGAGCCAGGGCTGCGGCCAGGCGTCCGGCAAGCGTGGGACAGAGTCTACCGCCACATGCAGGAGTTCCCGAGGGGCAGCGGGTTCGGCACGTGCAGGGTCCCACGACAACCGACATCCTGCACCTGATGGAGGCGGGCTGGGACCCCCAGCAGGCCACTGCCTGGCACCTACCTGCCAGTGATCCAGCTGCGGGAGACACGTGGGAGTTCGATGACGAGATGCATCGAGGGATTCCTACACTGGACTCATACCAGGGGCTCTTGGCAGATTTCAAGCAGACGGTGAGGCACGGCCTTTGGCAGAAGGCAAGCCGACATGTTTGTGGAGCTGGAGTAGGGAGTGGATTGCTCCTCCTACCAGACCCTGCTGCAGCAGTTGGCGACTATACCTGCGTATGGCCACAGGCTGTCCGAGGT